CGGGAAACTATACTTTGTTTTTACAAGGCTGCACGATTTTCACCGTTTTTGTAATTGCACATTTGCTTTCTGTCTTCAAAGAACTTAATATTTCAAAATCTATCCCCAAACTACAAATTAGAGAGCAAGACAAAACGTTTTGACGATGAAAGCTTTGTTTGTACTTTGTAGTTTGCACCCCTAATCAAATTCAACATGGCAGATTTATAAGGGCACGCATGAGGAAAAAGTGGAGACATGATTCGTGCATGATCAAGTACTGTACGCACTCTATACTGATCTATTATTTCCATGGTTAAACCGCACTAAGACAAATCTAGTAATAATAATAGTAAAACTTTATCTCAACACGCTGACCATGTCAACTTAAGCTGCTTTCCGCAAAGGGCGTGCAAAAAAGAATAAAAAACCACGAGAAGTAACTCATTTACAGAGGTTTAGAAAAGAACTAAGCTACATTGTCTATTGGTCTATTTACAACGTACGTAAATTTATTGTTTGGTTGTGAGTGGCAATTTTATTTTAAAGCAACAGAGAGACTAGATTGTTTTCCCTTATTTTTTATAGTGAGTTCTAATGTTCCATATGCATGCCCCATGGGACATGAAACTCTTTTTCAAACTATTTGTACGTGTCTTTGGTAAACACAGAGAGAACTTGATATGCCTCGAAGCTCATTGTTTGTTATCACTTTCAGTTTTATGAGTGAAAAGATCTGTCGGTGATTTTGGTCAGGCAGATGGGAGGGAAAAACTCACCCGATGAGGGGAAATTCTATTTTGCCTTCATCTTGTGCCTTTAATGTTGTATGTTGGCATCGTTCAATGGCTATATGTTTGCATATCGATGTTCAAATGTGGGTGAATATAATATATAACAGTTTAATACGTCAAATTTGATCACCAATCAACCAATTCACTTGTGCAAAAATACCAATAGGAAATGTTGTCCTACATGTTGTACTTTCAATGTACTGTAAATGCTGTCCTTTCGGTTTATATTGTTTACCCCCTCATTATTTTTATCAACATTCTGTCGACCTCAAGCTTTCTTAATTGTCAAGTATCATTTATTTGTTTTATTGTTGAGTACAGTGTTTCAAATCAAAATCATCATCACTGGCCTCACAAACGGTAAACTTTCCTCATGTGTGATACCCGACTACCCGCAGCTTTTTTGCAACTCTGATGGAGCACAGCTATATAAGCTGGCGGAATGGCTAGTTTTTGCTAAAGGATGAAAACCTCCATGCAGTACCCGGAAACTCTCTGGTTATATGAGTTCTCAAGCAGGGGCCGCGGAACCGGGGGGAAAATGACCCCCCCCCCACTTTTTTAAAAGTGAAAAAAGTGCCCTTTTTACTGGGCTAGAGCCCCCATTTAAAGAACGAAAAAAGTATTTCTTGAATGAACCGGTCTCTTTTGCCGGAAAGAAAGTGTCCTAGGCCATTTCCGCGACGTTATAGGAACTCCCTATTTTCAAATATTTTCGTTCGACTCGTGAACGACATAAAATCGTTTGATTTTGGTCATATACGAAAGTGCCCCTTTTGGCCAATGCTCCTAGCCCCACTTTCGAAATGCTTCCGTGGCCTCTGTTCTCAAGTGCGTCTTATCATAACAGGATATAGCAACTATTGATTGTAAAATCTTACATGTTATAAAGGGAAACGCTCTCTGTATTTGGCACTTGTTCGTGCACACCTATATGTTAGGGAAGCCAACTCTTGGCACCACAAACAACATCTAGGGATCTTCTTTGTCCAGAAGGTGTCCAACGACGAGCGACGAAACACATCCTTCAGGACTACACAACATCTTACACCAATTGTTTAAAGCAACTTCACATACTCCTATCACATACTGGTTATAAAATATATTATATTTTTACAAATGTAACGCTGGTCAATATGACCTAAAACTATATGTATATGTAGTAGGCAATCCGTCTCGTCATCATACTCGCCTTAGCTCTACCGCCGAACCTCTGCAGAACATCTTCTTCCCGAAATCTATTTTTTCAATACGATTGTATACCCCTATATATGGAACAGCCTGCCAGACGAAGTAAAATCCTTTTTTGCTATTTAGTAGTATATTGAGAAACTTAATGCATGTTTTGATGTTGATAGACCCCTTGATAGACTTGGAAAGCATTTTGTTCTAGAAGTATCGTTCTTGTTTTTTAAATTATTGTTCCTAAGAGTACAAGTGCAGCGAATTTTATGCACATACTATCTGCAATTTGTTAGTTTAAATATGTTGTAATGTAGCATGTCAAGCAGGAATTAATTTCCGACTGTATTTGACCTATTGTCTAGCCTTGTAAAATTAATAATACAAAAAAATTTCAATGAGCTATTTCCCAATGTCCTGGGTCTAGTCCCGCGAATCCCATCTTGGAGGGACAAGAAATAAGGCAGCAAACATTTAAATTAAAAGCTTAATGTAAAAAGGAGGTATTTCATTTTTGGTTGTGTAAGAAGTTGATATTTGATAGTAGATACAGTACTTCTACTCTTTCACATATTTGCCTGTCTCCATATATTTTGTCCCTCTAAACAATCCCAGAATGTACTGTGATCTCTTTTCGGAAAAGGCTAATTAGCGACATTCAAAATGACGCCGACAACAATGGCAACTCGACAATGAGATGTCTGCTTATTTAATTATGTTTATTCATTCACATAAATAGTCTATTTATCACTTTATTGATAAATCGTAGTCTACATAGCTCCGAGTGCCCTCCATGTTACCATTGTTGTGTTTGCTTTCGCAAATACTAATAATTTTCTCATAGTCTCTCCAACTTGTGTGGTTGGGCGAAGCGGCATTGACTTCCGTCCCATCTTTGTTACACATACACAACCCAATCTCGAAACCAGAGCCCGCAATCCTCTGTGGAGGCTTGCTGAGGCTCTGGGAAACACCTGTGAAAGTCGGACTCTGATTTGTTGTTTTTCAACATCCTCGTCCCCAGGCCAAAGCAGCCCTCAAAGTTTTTCAAATGCTAATTATTATTCAAACTTTGAGCCGTATTTAGTTATTCGGATTTCAAACATCGTTTAAAATTTATAATATAAAGTTTATTTCTCTTTGTGTATTGTTTAAACATATCAATGAAACACACAGCATAACATTAATAAACTTATTAAGCTTTCCTAGCTTCTCATATGAAATCAAAAGACTATTCTATTTCTGATATTGATATGCTATAAATAACAAAAGTAGAATAACAACAGTGCAGCATTACCACAGAATAAGGCACACAGAAGGGCACCCTGGCCGCCATCTTCCTAGCCAGTCGATTACATTTTCTGGCCAATAAACGCGCTGTATTGGCTGGAGGCCCCGCCTTCTGGCCAGTCAATTGCACATTTTTGCATAGAAAAATGGTGACACGTTGCACCGCTGAGTGGCCCTTCTGGTACTGATCTTTATTCTGTGGCATTACCATATTAGGTCATGATAAGCCGTTGCCTATAATATTTAAAATAACACACCAATCCATGATTTACCGTAATTAAACAAGTTAAAATAAATCACTTCCAGTATCTTACAACAATTCAAAACCATGGCAAGTGTTCTTTGAAGAATTAAAGTCGTAATAAGCTTAAACAACGGCATAATTCATGTTTGACGGCAGTAATGTCCATTTATAAATGTCGAGCGGAGTACTGGATCCAAATGTACTGATTTTCGTGCAAAAGTCGCCGGTGTTTCCCAGAGCCTCAGCAAGTCTCCACAGAGGATTGCGGGCTCTGGTTTCGAGATTGATACACAACCGTCACATCCGGTTCTCCCAATAACATGAATATAATTTAGGAATCTTGGGTTGTTTACCATTTACATGGAAATTCCGGTGATTCCATACGGAATGTAAGTGGAACGTACTTTCCCGGAATGAACGGTTTGTTTGAAAAGGTTGTCCTCTCTTACCGATTGGAACGTTTCAACCGGTGAATTTTGTTCCATTTACATCTTTTTTTATTTTTGCACCAGTTCCAGGCTCTTCGCGATTTAATTCAAACCGAATGGGTTTTCCATGTAAATGGTATAGCGTAAACAACCCTTCAGTGCCTTTCGGTTAGTCAATCTAAATGGAAAGTGCATAATCCGAATGGGATTTCATATCCGAAATTTTGCTTACCATTAGCACAATTTCAAACCGGTTGGGTTTTCCATGTAAATGGTAAACAACCTTGGTATACCATATTTTTATAAAGTTAACCGTACTAGTTTTCCGTGCAGGATAACGTTATCCATGCACATGGGATGTTGCGAGCCTGCGAATCGTGTTTTTTTGCGCTTTCCGAAACATTTGCATGGTATTCCTTTAACAAAGGTGAAAAGCATGAGAGCATTATTAAAGTACATGCTGTTATATAAATCTCATGAAAAATTCCCCGAGTCCCACATACGGGGGGGGGGGCTTGAATCACTTAAAAACTAAATCATGTGGAGATCCATTAGCTCTAGATCTTCAGCTGGTACAAGGAGTCTAGTCTGCGAACCCAGACGTGATTTCCCACGCTCATTCTTCGCTCGCGGAAAGTACTTTCTTGACTACAAAGAGTCTGGTTAAAATTCTAAATTGCACTGATTCAAGCCTCGTTGGAACTCAGGAAGTGACCTGGGTTTTCACGGCTTCAATTATTGCCAACATTGTAAACAACCTGGGGGCAATATCACAGTTTGTTATATAGCTAGGGTAAACACCAAACGTGATTGGCTGATTTGTGGTCACGTGACTTCAGATGACCAACCTATAGGCAACCGCCCCTATTTTTAAAACTGATGTGAACAACCTAGGGCAATACAGACTGCGAGCGGTCCTTCCTTTCCGCGGGTTTAGATTTCCGGTCTAAGGGCAATATCGCAGTTTAGTATAATTTAAATGTTGAAAAATGGCCTTTGCGCATTCTGATTGGCTTCCTCAGCAGTAATTCTGAGGCAATAGTCACTGCTCAGACTGCTCTGATCAGTAAATATTGCTTTTCCCCAGAAAATGGCCGAAATCAGATAGAAGTAAATTATTTATGCAAAATAATTATTATATTCATAAAATAAACACGTGTTGTATTAGCTGTATTTATCTTTCAATACTGAAATCATACTAATACAACTAGTCGCCTAAATAGTAATAAAATAATTGAAACTTGTTAATTAAATAGTAATACCTACTATGGGAGAACATATTATATGTATAATGAATAAACAGAACTATATTATGTATAATAAATAAACAAACAAGCGTATATTATAGTTTGACTATAATTTCAGACGGTGTTTTCAAGATTCGTCTGAATAGCGGAAAAGGCAGCAAGAATTAAAGGCTGTCTTTCTACAGGAGAGAAATGTCCACAGAATTTCGGATCTTACAACGAGCTTGCGCTCCTTATTTTTGTCATTTTGCCGGGACGGAAAACACTGACTCGTCAAGTGCAACATAAATTTGGAATTTTTATCTGAAAATGGCCATTAATTTGACGACTAGCGCCAAACCTTTTCCGCAAGCCCTGTTTACTTAGTCATACAGTCGGTTGCAGTCGGTAATTATCAATGGGAAAATTTCGTTTTTTCAGTCCATTGTCAAGAAAATGTCTTAATGTAACCGAATGTCGAACCATGCCATGTTTATTCATACTGCCTTTATACACTGCATTCATTACACCATCATGCATTACATTACAATTACATAATATTTTTACAGCTAAAACCATATTTTCTAATCTACAGGGACCGGTTGTATAAATATACCGAAACACTGCGCATGTATGAAATTCATTCAAACCTTTCAAAACTCGTCATAAATATGTATACATTGTTAACGTTTGGGTAAATTTTAACATTTTTTATGTCCAAGATTGTTGTGACCAGGAAAATATAAAATTCCAGTTCCGCCACGATTAACAACCCACCATAGCACATGATTCAAAGTCACATATATTTCGAATGTTGGGACAAACAAAAGCTATAAAAACAATGTATAATGTCTATAATCGACGCAATATTTTAGTTGTCGAATGAGTAACATAGCAAAAGATTTTTAGAATGGTCTCAAATTTTGATAATGCGAACGAATTTATGCCAGATTTGAATAAATTAAATCCCCAAAACTGAAGATTTAAAGAGGCTGTCAAGTCCGTTCTGCGCATGCGCGTGTTTTGTTTACATTTCTGTTTCAAACAAATTTTAATTAAATTATCTATTGTTTGAAACAAAAATGTAAACAAAACACGCGCATGAGCAGAACGGACTTGACAGCCTCTTTAAGGTATGCGGGAACAAGCAATAGAGAGGCTAAGATACCCCGGTTCCGGTTTACGGGTACGGGTGATATACACGTACGCGTACCCGTAAATCGGGGAACGACTTGTAACTTAAGAAATTCAAGATATTCCGACGTGAGAAACCGATCAGAGAATGGTAACTTTCGCTGTTCAGGTTCGCCACAAATTGTTGAACACTTTGACGACCATATGTGCACTATTTATTTGGCTAAGATGTTAAAAATTTTTGAACAGCCCACAAATAGTAAACAGAAAACACGCGTACCCGTTTGTCTTTTACGTGTAGACCATGATGGTTTACCGCGGGTAAAAATGCTGACGTCAGCAAAAATTGGTAAACAAAATGGCGATACTCGTACACGCAAACCGGGGTATCTTAACCTCTCTAATAGCGCAAAAGTTAACAGACCTTACCACTTTAAGCCACATATAGTTACCTGTAACTAACACAACCGGTCCCAGTATGGTATATGTATTCGGGGAAAACGTGAGTTTCCAGGAAAAACCCGACAACAATCAATATCATCAATCGGTTAATCAATCATTAAATAAACAATCAAGCACTTAATTATTTAACCAATCGATACAATAATTTATCAATAAACTGAAAATCGCCAATCACTAGACATCAGATTATCGTTAAGCCGGTTTTCCACTTGCGAATTTTTTCGCGCGAAGCGAATTTTTCTTTTGCCTTTATACAATTAGTTCTAAATGGTTCCAGTTGAGAGACCAAAGACAAATGAAAAATTCGCTTCGCGCGAAAAAATTCGCAAGTGGAAAACCTGCTTTAAGCTCGAGTCTGACTCGGGCTAAAAACACTATTTATGATTGCGAATTAACATCACTATTCTACTGTTATAATTTTACAGTGCGTCTGCAGTAAGTGGGGCCACTTAGAGAACACTAACAAACCAGATTGCAGAACAAGAATAGAAATCTAATCAAACTACAGCTCGTCCAATCAAACGAAAGCATGGAGTTCGCTTCAGGAAGCCAGTAACTTCAAGTCACTATTTTTACCGTTTGACATTCGCTTATTTGTTAACATTGTTTTTAGCCTAATGCTGATTGGCCAATGCGCCGTTTGGTAATTTTCTCTATCTTTGTTCTGCATTGCGATTGTATAGTGTTTTCTAAGACTAAGTGGCCCCACTTACTGGAGACGCACTGGAACGATCTGCAGGAGTCCACCGGATAGAGATTCTTTCAAGCTTCCTAAAATTGTCCAACCTACAGTATATTTTAATTAAAAGTTTACAATTTAAAAGCCTGTTTACACTTGCAATTTTTGCTGCGATTTTAAGTGCGAATTTTTCTGGTGACATGATGGCGACATTTCATCGCCATGCAATGTATAAAACACCCTGCGATTTAAATGCAATTCCAGTGCAACTTCACTGCGACAAGCTACAAATATTAATTTCGATCGTAATCGAATTTTTCGCAACTCGCTGCGATTTTTCAAAAAGATGTGAACAAAATACGACTACGCTATGCTTGCCCCTCAACGGCAGGCATTGTCACCTTCAACAAAGGCTTTATCAAAGCCAACCAACATAAATTCAATCTTCACTTTCACGCTGTTTTTAAAAGCAATATTGTTCAGGTAAGTCTATGCTATAAATGCAGTTAACTATCAATAACATACGTGAATAGGGAAATTACTTGTTTTCGATATGGTATCAAGAGAAAATAGCGCAATAACAACATAAAAACCGAGATAAAAACGAAGTACAGCAATACTATAAATATTTACTGAGTTCATTTTGGTCTTTAGAACAAAAACTGGTGTTTCTATTCGTTAAACACAGTTCTTATAACCATGCTTTATTCACTCTAGAGGTCTAGTTTTTAGTTTCAGACTCATTTTGCAGGACATAGCCTAACTCATAAGTCTTGGCTTTTATACGCTGTATTTTTATAGAATAAATTGAAATAGGCGACGATTCCAACGAACAGCTAGCATGCAGTCGGGAATTTTTTTCTACAGCCAATCACTTGTAAGAAAACGGCCGTAAACAACCTATAGAATACAGAATCTTTGTACTGCTTGTAAGCTTGAGTCAAGTATTGAAAATTTAGCTCAGTTTACAAGCCAGTGAAATGGAAAAATCGCTGCAAATTGCAGTGTTGTCGCAGCAAAGTTGCCGTCAAAATCGCAGGGTGTTTACATTGGAGATTTCAAAAAATCGCCGTTGAAATCGTAGTGAAAATGGCAACTGTAAACAGGCCTTAATTTAAAGTTTCTCTCTATTAATTGTGACGTCCATATATCCGTAATGTTATAGCTTTTTAAGCATTTTTTTTGTAACGGTTGAAAAAATCACTATCCGGTGGATAGCGCTATCCGGCCTTCGTATAATCAACCCCTTACGTCTTCCCAACATGTAAAGGCCCGTTTACACTTGCAATTTTTGCTGCGATTTCTGGTGCGATTTTCTTCTTCTGATGGATGTGAACGAGTGGATGAGTTATGAATGTTCAGATGAGGGTACTATACTCAGAGCAGTCATAGTTCATCCACTCGTTCACATGCATCAGAAGAAGAAAATCGCACCAGAAATCGCAGCAAAAATTGCAAGTGTAAACAGGCCTTAACAGGTCACAACTTTGTCTAAGCACCTTGTGATGCGGGGTGTGGAACGCCTGGATTGTTCACATAACGAACAACCGCCATCGACCGTCTCCGCCGTCTTTTTTCAAGTTCTTTTTGAATGTTATAAGTTTTCTCAGCTAACAAATGATAGTACTCCTCCTGTGATAAAAAACACCCACGAGAAACATAACGTGTTATATACAGTACAAACTGAATAGACAAACCAAAGCCAAACATCACGGTCGGACATTTCCGAAAATTTCACAGTTTTCCGACGGCAAATGCTAAATTGGTTGGACATTCTGTCCTGACATAAAATAGCAATCAACCTTCTTGAAAGCTAGGCTGTGTGAACCATAAACTGCAGGTAATCACCCGCAAAGACATTAAAATATTATTTAAATACTGGCGTAGATCACCCAACAAAGGCATGAAATCAAAATGGAATCGAAAAAATGTCCAACCAAATTTAAACGTTTCCGATCACATTTTATTTTGGTGGTACATTTTTCCGGACAAATTTTGAACGTTGTTTCAGGCTCTGGAAACTGACAAGATTACAAGATCACATATTCAGGGTGTTGAATTTGATGACGATGTTTTAAGCTACGTTTACACGCTACGATTAATCGTGTATGATTCGTATTCTGGCGTATTAAAATGAGTGCTGGCGCAATAATTCATTGCCGTTTCGTTAAAAAGAGATTTCAAATGTAGCCAGCTTATGCGTGTTTACTCAATGACATACGCCAGAAAAGGAATTGTACACGATTAATCGCAGCGTGTAAACGTAGCTTTCAAAAACACCGCTGCATGCGTAGCCTGCTCACAGACGCTGTAGTTCTTACGCCAAGCGACGAAATACTACCGTCTGCTTACCCGAGCTGCATATTCAATTCCCTTTGTTTTAGGAGCCAATTATCTGGCAGTGTTCAAAAAAGTTAGAGCCAATTGGAAGCCGCCTTATTGAGAGATTAGCTACTGGGGAAAGCCCTTGCACATGCATTGGAATATATTGTTTGGGTGAAACTTGAAATTTGTTTACTTGCGTGGATATATTTTGGAAACTATAGCGTTGAACTTCACGATGTTTACGTAGAATAATATTGTGATCATCTTCTCGCATGTTCAGCAAACAATCGGTGTATATAAAGTGCTAAAGCAATGCAGTAAGCGAAATTTAAATTTTTGTTAACAACGACAAACAATCAATCGGGACTCGAGTATATCAGGATATGTCCAAATGTTGCTCTTGATACTTCTTATATGCCATGACTTCGACGAAAACTTCTAAAAGATTAAGCTCTCATTGTCATGTAGAAAAGTATAGCCAAGTTAGAGTATAAACGTTTCGAAGTTTGGGCGAATTGGAAAATTCATCACGGCGCAATTTTAATACAAGTTTCTCGGGTTTGTACTGTGTTTACAGTTTACATTCAGAAGTGGTTGCACAAACAGCAAATTAGTTTACTTTGAAGCTAATATTTCGCTTTCTAAGCCCCAGTATTATATAAAATTTTCTGTCTTCCGAGTTCTGTTGTCTTATAAAGATAAACCGTTAAAATTTCAGCGAAATATATTCGGCATTCGATGCTGTCTGGCTAAGATTCATACAGTATATTAAGGGAAGCCTGACATATCGATTTTGTCCATGAGAAACGTCATATGTTCGTTTCTCTGGAGACCCCCCCTCACCCCCCCTTAGAAACGTCACACATAGTTATCGATATTTTGTTCTTATAGTACACATAAGGTAATTTTCTACTACTTTGTCGGTCGGCTATTGGCGATGCTTCCGCGAGGAATATGTCATCTTCTGCTGACATACTCTTTTTTTATTAATATATATGTGAACTTCAAAATTTCCAACGTTTCTCAAAACAACTTTTTTTTGCATGAAATATTGATAATTTTAGCGCGTATTTCTTGAAATTTGAGTGTTTTCAAATGCAAAGAAGGCGTAATAATATAAATGTATAGGTATAGAACAGGTATGGTATTACGAATATATATAGACTGCTGTTTGTATCAATTTTTTTTCTTTTTTATACTCTGCAAAGATAAAAACTATCGATTTTTTCCATGATGTTTACAGAGGAACGTCACAGCTGCCAACCCACCCCACCCCCAAACGAACATATGACGTTTCTCGTGGAAAAACTCGATATGTGAGGCTTCCCTAAATAATATGCCAATCCTGTCCGCGTTTTAAATATAACCGAACATCTTTAATATCCAAATCTGATCATTAATGGTGCATTTTATTACCTGGACAAGTATCAGTATCTTTAAATTCAATTTATGTGCAATTTTGACCAAAATTCAACCGACGACTGCTTTTAAAATATATATTTATATTTATTCCGCTCCTAAATCAACTGACGTCACTTTCCAGAATTTGGAAGGTAAATTCTGATTGGTCGATGTAGCGGAATTCAGTTTGGCGCTCGGGTAAGCAGACGGTAGTATTTCGTCGCTTGGCGTAAGAACTACAACTTCTGTGAGCAGGCTACTGCATGCGTTGTCCATTTTCCGTTCTTGATTTCTCAAGCAAAAACTCATGACGCCATCACTCGCCATCTATAACGGCGCGGATGATTTCCGGTTGGTATACTGTACGTGTTGTCAAAAAACGTCGCTTGCTTAAGGTGGCTCAATACAGTTTTTTAAAAATTGGAAAATTCACGATTTTAAATTTAGATGCGTATTTTTGGACTATTAGTACTTGCTGATAAACAAAGAGTACCTTACACCTATATAAAACAACATCTAAAGAGTTTGAATTTTTGTACAAAAGTTACGCAACTGCCGTTGCTATGGCAACAATGACGTTTCAAGATGGCGGATATTTTGGCTTCAAAGTAATTTAACTCGTAAACGACATCGGTGACCCCCAAATTTTATTTTAAAAAATTATTTCTCTTAGTATAATAAATTATTTTGACAATTTAAAAAAATTCAATGGAGCCAAAAAAAAAATTATGAATAATCACCTTTACGTAATTTTTGAGTTCGGCTCTACAGAATTTTTTTAAATTGTCAAAAAAATTGATTATATTAAGAGAAATCATTTTTTAAAATAAAATTTTGGGGTAACCGATGTCGTTTACGAGTTAAATTACTTTAAAGCCAAAATATCCGCCATCTTGAAACGTCATTGTTGCCATAGCAACGGCAGTTGCGTAAGTCTTTAGATGATGTTTTATTTAAGTAAGGTACTTTTTGTTTATCAACAAGTAATAATTGTCCAAAAATACGCATCTAAATCGCGAATTTTCCATTTTTTGAAAACTGTATTGAGCCACCTTAATCTCTCTAAAAACGTCACATGCAATTGCAAAACGGTAAAAACTGCGACAATAAAGACTAGATTAACACATAAAAAACTGAACGTAACGAGTACATGCAAAACGGCCAAATTTGCCATCTTGTACGTAGGAATCGCCTATGTTCTGCGTGTTTTCGATACAGTACGGAACAAAAGACACTTGTGTTACATAAGAAATTCCAAGTCTTTCTGTACTGAAATACCTGTATGGATCCAGACTATAACCAAAAGCACAAAAAGAGAGAATCGTAACAAAACTCACCCTACTGCTCGCTGTGTCATACATATCACCTTCCACCTTCCTTGCATATGCAACTAGATTTGTCATTCGTCTGTCTTTGAGAGCTCTGGGGTCATTGACTGCAGTTGGGAAAATAGCAGTAACACTAGAAATATAGAAGAGTAAGGACTGTAAGGTAGAATACCTGTAGTAAATAGAGACAGTATTCAACTAAAAATGTAAACATTATATTCGTTCTTTCTGAAAATGTCCACCACAATGGACACGACCAGTTGCCAGAACTTTCAAAATTATTTTAAGCAAGCGTCTGTGGTGAGAAGAACAGTAGGCGGCTGAAAGAATAATTTTACAAATATGGAAATTTTGACATTTCAAGCGTTGTCATCTTTTTGTCCAGTCTGTGGTTTCATCAAATGGTAGTCAGCTAAGCTTGTTTACTCCAGTATAAGAACTAATGGATGAAATTCTTGTTTTGGAAAAAAAACACGCGCTAAAACGACAGAAAAAAGCAATGAAATTTCTAATAAAAATCGTCCCCCTATACTGTACAGGCATTTGTAGCCTGTTTTTGGTTTTTAGATGATAGTTAATGTCAAAAATCACTTCAAAATTTTTGTTCTAGCTATTCTCTTGCCAATGGTTAAACGTTATAAATTCATGGAAAAATAAAGATTTAGAAGTGCATGTATAGAGTAATCAGTAATGTTTTAACCCATTAAGCAGGAGAGCTTCCCCATTGACAAGTAATATTGTCTGACGTTAGACATTCAAGCAAAAAAATTAAGTAGGGGAAACTGGGGCACATTCCGGCTCAATGGGTTAACCTATAAATTTTTTGGTTAGATTTAGTTAACCTATCCATTTTTTGGTTAAGCCCTATCGTTTGTGATAACAGGTTGGATCAACCTCGTACCCAGGCTCTTTAGCAAGGAGTGTAGAGAAGAGAGCCTGGGTATGAGGTTGTGGTTGGGTGACCATGTTCTCGTAAAACAAAAAGCTGTATCAAAGTGCGAAATAAGAATATGAGACTAAAAATTTCCTAACACAGCATTTCAGCATGACGTACATTATGCAAAATGTTCGAAAACTTTCTATTTTGCAGTATTCTCATTATCTCATACTATGCATATGTATGCTATAAGTATGCATGTGTACTTACAGCATTCCTATAGCATACATTTTTAGCTGAAACTTTGTACATTTAGTTGTCGCTTTCGTTCATTTCTGCAGAAGTTCATTTTGACACAGACACTTAATTTAAGGCATCAGCCGTCAGGGATACGTGCAAACCCTGGCTACATGGATACATGCGCCTCCCCCCCGCCCCACCATTGTGGAAAATGACGAGTTTTCGGAAATTTTGACCTATAAAAGGGCTAAAAAAAGTCTTTTCGAGTGCAAATGGGGGGGGGGGTGTCGGGAATTTGAAAGATTTGTCGGAAATTTAGAAGGCTTCGCCCCCCCCCCCACCGGAAAAAGTGAATTTCCGCCACTGGGTACGAGGTTGGGATACATGTCCATTTGTCACAAAATGGATATTCTTGCGAAAAAATCAGAAAAATGTTTATAGTAACTGGTGTGCATTTATTTTAAGCAAAGATGAAATAAATTCCAGGGTGATGGTTGAAATTTAAGGCAAATCAGGTAAGAGGTTCTATGCAATAGTTGGCTAGACATCCGACAACCAGTCCGCCATGCACTCGACATTCCATCATCAGTAGAACAGGCTAGTTATAAGGGAAAGAACAATGTACAGAGCATTTGACAATAGTTTTCAAAGTTTTTAAAACAGCGAAGTTTGTACACTTACAGTTTCTGTACAAGATGGTTTCTTAAATCTGCTGTAACCTGCTGATGCCATTCTTTAGGCCCTCTAGCTCCTTCAGGAATCTTGTCCACTGCAAAATATACACTCAGGAACTCAGTGGTGCCTAAATTACTTTGAATTTGTACTCGAGTAAAAGTAGAAATAATTAACAATAAAACGAATCAAGTAAGAGTAAAAAGTACTGGAGGCAAAACATAATTAAGTAAAAAGTACAAAGTATCCTTAAAAAATACTTGAACTACAAAGTAAAAGTAAAAGTACTACTGTCTATAGTCTGTAGGGGGGGGGGGACTTCTCCCGAATGGATTGACATACAAAAGACACAAAACAGCACACGCATTATATGCGTGCACCTAATATACAGTAGAATACTTCACGGTATGATCTACTTTCCAGACCCCGTTGAAGAAATCCATTAAATAAATAATGCTTATAAGTAAGCCACAAACGAGAGATCCCAGACGCATGTCGGCATGTGGAAGTCCTATTACCTATCCCAAAATTAAAATAAATCAAGAATAAATCAAGTAAAATTAACCAAACTTTAATAGAAAGTATTAACGAAATACTTCGCCACAAAATAAAAATAACGAAGTAAAACATTACTTCTTAAAACGGCTTCGTTCCAAGTAAAAGTACTCCGGAAAAAGTTTATTTTGTTTCATGCTGACTTCTCAAAAATAGTACTCAAGTACAGTAACAAAGTACATTTACTTCGACTCATCGTTACATGACACCACTGCAGGTACTATTTAATCATGTTAGTTCTGTGAGGTCCAATTTCAACATTCGACTTCCTGATCAATATGTATCTGCCTAGAGTCCTAGACTAAGAGCCGAAAGTAGGTGTGGTAAGGGAAGGTACACCCTAAAGCAAGTTTTCGTATGGCAAGTCTTATTTGCGCATTGACCGTGTGTACGTACAGCAAATTTTGTTTGACAAGTTTTTATTTTTTGTTGCCACAATAGCCTCTACAACACATTGCTGTCCAACACTATCAAAGTATTCAGTCTTAAAGCCTGTTTTCCACTAGGCGGAATTTTGCGCGCAGAGCGGAATTTTTCTTTGTCTTGTGATTTCTCGGGTGTAACTAATTAGAAAAGACAACGAAAAATTCCGCTCCGCTCGCGAAATTCCGCCTAGTGAAAAGCAGGCTTAAGCCTGTTTTCCACAAGGCGGAATTTTGCGCGCAGAGCGGAATTTTTCTTTATCTTTTCTAATTAGTTCCACCAGAGAAATCACAAGATAAAGAGAAATTCCGCTCCGCGCGCAAAATTCCGCCTAGTGGAAAACCGGCTTAAACTATATGTTAAGAATTCAAACAAAGTTCTGCACCCTAGTCTTTCCTTGTCGGTGACCAGTTCGAAAACTTGCTGTGATGAAATGTGCAAGGTTTTCTCAAAATTCCCAAACTTAAATTTTAGTGGAAACTTAGTAATCAACCTTCAAAGTCACTCTCAGATTTCAAATGGTACAGCTTTCATTCGAGTTTGAAGTTTCTGGCTCACTCGTTGTACACAAGCTTGGTTTCACAAGTATATATTAAATATGATAGCCTAGTAATAGTCCTGCTTAACCACAGGTGGCCCAGGCTGTGTGTGGGTATTTATTTATTTTTTAATTACTCGCTGGGGCGCCTGTGCTTTGGCGAGTATAGGCTCGCATTTTTCTCCGATAGTGGATGTCAGATCGCAATCGATAGCCACAAAATAGAATATTAACTAGGAAAGGAAAGTGCTGCCTCTCCTCCCTTCCATCACATAAGCACATAAAGCACCCCTAAGACACCTGTTCAGGAGGTAGGAAAAGTGCAATCTGAATATGAAAACACTTTGCACAAAATCGAAGCTCAGCTAAATATTCTAATTGTATTGACTTCCACAAATTCCTTACTCTTCAAGAAATTACTTCCTGAAAATTCTTCCTAAACAAAGATGAAGGACTTTGCAAAAGTCTACAGGTCATGCTATGCAAGTTTTTAATGATTTGCATTATTCAAATAGATGCAGGTTTATTAGCATATCATGACCAGTTGTCATGGCTAGCTTGCCACCGAATACTGTACAATATCATATATAGCAAATGATAATAATACTTGAATGAATCATTGGATATGTAGAATTTAATAACAATTTCATACATAGAAATACTACCAGTAAGTCAGTTTTTGTCCCAATTATCATTTTAATGGCATCTTCAAGGCCATCCCTGAACAATCGGCCAGTGGGGGACACAAAATCTATTTTGTTGACATTCTTGTTTAATATGTCAGCTTCGTATGACACCATTCATTGTATAAATGACTAAGATTGCACTCAGTCAGAACTGCAAAAACTATATAATAAGAAAGAAATTGTGAGCATTATCGAAAAGAAGTTACTCAGATAATTTTTCATTTGTATACAATTGTGTCTTCTAATTCGGACATCATACTGCTCATTTAACCTTATGCATAATGATGTCACAAGGTGTGATGCCCGCAAGGAATGCTGGTCATCGCCCGGGAGAATTAAACAATTCAAAATGGAAATTTTCCTGGACAGTGATGACTACTAAGACCAGCATTCCTCGCAGGCACCAAGCCTTGAGACGTCATTATGCATAAGGTCTATGACCCGCATAAAAGAACCAGTAAGTTATAAAGAACCACTAGGCCTGAAGTTTGGGCAATTAAGCACCCAAAATACAAGTTTTAAATTTTTTTTAAAGGTTAGATATATGCAACAAGAACCATATTAGTGTCATAGCAATACATTTATGTAACAACAGTCCCTATTTAATGTGTAAAATATAAAAAAAAGTATAGTCAGTGTGAAGCAAGATTATATATAAAGATTAAAGAACCACTTCAGCCTGAAGTCAAAATTCATTGGTTCTTTTAATATGCAGGGTTTTACAGCATGTCTGCATATCATATTCCCATAATAACAATATTAATAATCATTTTAGTGTAATATATAACTATTTTTATTGACAATTTTCTAATTGACATACAACCTATATATTTGTAAAATTTGATATACAATACCTTGTTGGCTTGATCTTTTGACATTCTCAGTATACAACTTTATTTATTGCCAACGTCAACGATTGCCCAGCTAGCGAGATGCCGAGATCACACTTCGCTAGTATAAAGTATAAAGTATAAAATATAGCGAGTTCACACATCCCTAGCAAGTTTGGTACAGGTACAGCGAGTTCACAATTCACTGCTTTTTTGAAAAACATAATATGAACGGCCCCTTTTGATTTGATTTGACCAAATGATCGCCACAAACACACACCAAAATATACACCTAGAGGAGATAGAATTCGAATTTTTATATAAATGTATTAAAAACAGACTATCACGTTCATTTACATATATAAGTATTCAAACGTTCAAATAACTATTTTTATCAACATACCTTCAAAAATATAACTCTTTTCCTCCAAAATCAAATGGTAATATTGTAAAATAAAGCCTCGTGCATTCGTACAATGGAAAATGAATAAGTGATATGCCAAATGGTCATGTCAAAATTAAATGTCATAGCTCCTATGAAGCTACGGCACACCGAAAACGCTTTCGGACGTGATCGGATTGACATCGTTCACTTCCTGCGTATGTAAATTTTTACACAACGTCATTCTGTGACGTCAGAAAATGTGACCCGAACGACAAACAAATTGAGATTTGCTCTGGCTAAAATACATAGGTCGCGCGGAGATCTGGCACGAGTAAAAACTGTAAACGTCGTCAAGAATAGGTGGCTACCTTCGCTTCGCTCGGCAGCAATGAGCTCCCTATGTATATCCTTGAATAAACATAGACAGGGTTCGTAGTCTCCAAGACCAAAAAAATTTAAAGACTATATCACAGATTTTTTCTGCCTATTTTCAAAGAGATTTCAAAGACATTTGAGAGCAATCTGCTGTCGAAAAATTGCGAGTAGCACTATTTTTTAATTCTGTCAATTCACATCCTAAAATGCGCCTTTTCGTCGATATTTGTGAAAATCTTGCTTCCATCAATCTATTTTATTAGCCATGCAGGAAATCATTTAGTCAATTCCTCACTAAAGAATTTAAAGACTTTTAAAGACTTTCTTTGCTTTTCCACACAATTGAAAGACTTTTCAAAGACTTAAAGAGCTGCATTCAAATTTAAAGACTTTCAAGGATTTCAAAGACCTCTACGAACCCTGAATGCCTGATAGATATGTATAGCCGCGGCTTTAGAAGCGTTTTGTTGAAAATGCTGTCTTGCCCAAGTTCGCCCGGCGTTATAGCAGCCCACCTTTGCATACTTAGTAATATTAGACAATATAGGCCAGGTTCAACGAAATGGCCTGAAAATCGTCAAGAGTGAAGTAAATGACATAAACAAGTAAGTCAACCAATATTTTGAATCAGAGCGTATTTAGACATTTTTTACAATATTTTACAATAATACGTGTACATCATAATGTGTATATCATAATGCATTCTCAGGATGTTTTTCTATCATTATATCAAACTAAAACCACCCCAAATCACACATATTAACACATAAAGGAAACTAAATAAGTTATACTTTATGTTTAATGCAAAATATAATAACATTAAAAAATAAATAAATACCCACACAGAGCCTGGGCCACTGTGGTTTGACTTAGAAATGTTTCTTAAAATATATTTCAAAAATTTCCCCCCGACTTTTTTAACTCTTTTTCAACCTACCGGTTTCGCATTACATTACGACACAATTTTTCTACTCGGCGAGTATTTATCCCCCTTTCAAATAAAAGGCACCATTGAAATCCTCACAAAATAACCTGTCGAACGGGGGGTCAAGTGCCTTCAAAACATTACACAAACAGAAAAAATCATGATTTACTCACCGCTTGGCCAAAGATTCTAAAGACCTCTAAAGTTCATATCCAGAAAATCTTGAATATCTCTTGAACTTTTCGTCATTGTCTGAACGGCTATATGTGTAAATACTCTTTGTATTCAAGCGCTTTCGTGTACAAAATTTCGTTTGAATACGGCGAGTAGAAATATTTATTTTGAATTTTTCAAGATGCCGGGTTTTACTCGCACTCGCGTACATTGCACAATAATTGGCCAATTAGAAGCTCCTGTGGCCGGAATGACGATCATGACGTCAAACTCGCGCGTATAGGTGCAATTTGACCTGTAGAATCCATGTCTGACATTCGCAAGGTCATACGATGATACGACACAAACGTCTCATTGTTTTGACGGTTTTCAGTCGTATTTCCGGTTGGGATTAACTCACTTCGAACTCAAAGTCGGACAAGAAATGGAAATATATTGATAAAAGATACAGATTTGAAGATACAGGCTTGCAAATAACACTCTAAATAGTGTTTTTGATGAGGATGCGAACAAGGCTATTACAAAGACGATATGTTCGAAAAGGCCGAAGTTATTTTCGGCGAAAGGTACGGCTAGTCTATATTTTTGTTCAGACAATTGCGTCATTTGATACTAACAATCTGATCGTGTTTGACTTTCAAAGGCCCATAAATCGCTACAATGTTGATAATGACTATAACTATAGGGAGGAATCTTTTATTTCTGAATCGAATGGTGGTATTTCTGTCTTCATAGCGTGCACTGAACCGAAGATATTAAATTTCTTGCCAATCGTTCAGTGCTGAACGACGACACTGGGATGTGGTCAAAAGGAGTTTTTAACTCTCAAATTGTTTATTATACATTTATTGGTTAGGGTTAGAGAAGGGTTAGGTGTTGGGGTATAAACCCCCATATCTGTTTATCTTGAATAATCCGACTGCAGTACAGTATGAAGAACAAATCAAACTTCGCGTACTGTTCCAGTACGACTGTACGAATAGTCACTTCGTACTATAATTGTCCTCTGTCTCTCCATTTCTAGTCTCGAACAACTCTTCCTGTAGTTCGTCCAAGAACGTGTCTGCTGTCGTCAACAGCTGACAAAAATTCTCGATTAAAAATATGAATGATGAAACGAGCTTCGCTCAACAGCGTCGCAAATAGCCAAATATGTGAAGTCTTCAACAGGAAGACTGGGTTAACTTTATATTAATATGCCGACAGTGACTGAACGAAACTCGTCTCAAAACAACCATAAAACAACTTAAAACTACAAACTTGTACGAAGTTTGTGTATTACATACCTTCATTATCAGTTGAGGTACTAGAACTACCAACTTTCTGCTTCTTATTTGGAGGTCCGTCAACTTGTTGTTTAGCCATATATCTAGTAGATATCACACACCTATAATGTACAGCAAAATCACAGCAAAATTCCTTTAAATATTAACTATTATTATATAATACTTATTGAATTCTGATCGTTTAATTGGCTGTTTATGGTCACGTGATATTGAATAGAAACTTCATTTCTCAAGAGTGCAAAAAACTCTTTGTGTTTTCGATCGATAAGGTATGCTATGTAAAAACTCGACAAGATATGGTGTGTAAAAACTCGACAAGGTATGCTTTGTAAAACTCGACAAGGTATGCTGTGTAAAAACTCGACAAGGTACGCTGTATAAAAACTCGACAAGGTATGATATGTAAAAACTCGACAAGACATGGTGTGTAAAAACTCGACAAGGTATGCTGTGTAAAACTCGACAAGGTATGCTGTGTAAAAACTCGACAAGGTATGCTGTGTAAAAACTCGACAAGGTATGCTGTGTAAAAACTCGACAAGGTATGCTGTGTGAAAACTCGACAAGGTATGCTGTGTAAAAACTCGACGAGATATGGTGTGTAAAAACTCGACAAGGTATGCTATGTAAAAACTCGACAAGATATGGTGTGTAAAAACTCGACAAGGTATGCTGTGTAAAACTCGACAAGGTATGCTGTGTAAAAACTCGACAAGGTATGCTGTGTAAAAACTCGACAACGTATGCTGTGTAAAAACTCGACAAGGTATGCTGTGTAAAACTCGACAAGGTATGCAGTGTAAAAACTCGACAAGGTATGCTCTGTAAAAACTCGACAAGGTATGCTGTGTAAAAACTCGACAAGGTATGCTGTGTGAAAACTCGACAAGGTAAGCTGTGTAAAACTCGACGAGATATGGTGTGTAAAAACTCGACAAGGTATGCTGTGTAACTAACTCGTCAAGGTATGCTGTGTAAAAACTCGACAAGGTATGCTGTGTAAAAACTCGACGAGGTATGCTGTGTAAAAACTCAACAAGTTATGCTGTGTAAAAACTCGACAAGGTATGCTGTGTAAAAACTCGACAAGGTATGCTGTGTAAAAACTCGACAAGGTATGCTGTGTAAAACTCGACAAGGTATGCTGTGTAAAAACTCGACAAGGTATGCTGCATAAAAACTTGACAAGGTATGCTGTGTGAAAACTCGACAAGGTATGCTGTGTAAAAACTCAAAGAGATATGGTGTGTAAAAACTCGACAAGGTATGCTGTGTAAAAACTCGTCAAGGTATGCTGTGTAAAAACTCGACAAGGTATGCTGTGTAAAAACTCGACGAGGTATGCTGTGTAAAAACTCGACAAGGTATGCTGTGTAAAAACTCGACAAGGTATGCTGTGTAAAAACTCGACAAGGTATGCTGTGTAAAAACTCGACAATGTATGGTGTGTAAAAACTGGACGAGGTATGCTGTGTAAAAACTCGTCGAGGTATGCTGTGCAAAAACTTGACGAGGTATCTGTGTAAGAACTCGACGAGGTATGCTGTGTAAAAACTCGATGAGGTATGACCGGGATCGACTTGGTATAAGATATCAGCAAATGACCATGGTTTCACGCGCTCATTACAGCAAACGCGATCTGGGAACGAAATTAATGATGTGTTCGAACATCAACGATGTGCTCGACCATCGATGGTTTCGAAATTTGGGACGGCAACCTCTAAAACTTCCGTGGGATTTCAGTTGTTAATTTTTGCTTATTTTCTTGCGTTAATATATGATATTAATAGTCGTCCTCGTTGCGCTTTTGTCCTGCTTGTTGAAATTCTCAATAACGATAGTTCTTTATAATTATAGAAGTGTAAAATCTCAGGTTGTTTCTTGTCACGTTCCCGTACTAGATACCTGCGAGGAAAGTCCTCTTGTATTTCTTCTCGGCATGGCACGGAGAAGCGAAAGAGACTCTTGCAGTACTTGTGTATAAATTCATTTCAGCATGCCCGAAGTTCCTAAGCAACTGCCCATTTCCCAGAAGAAGATTTAATAAGTAGTTTCCGGTTCGGTTGTAAACCGGTTATAAAACCAGTACATCAAACCTGAAATTACGCATAATTATCCAAGTTTTTGGATTGTGTGCTCCACAAAGAATATACACAAGTTCTGCAGAGTCTCTCTCGCTTCTCCGTGCCGTGCCGAGAAGAAATACGAAAGGACTTTGCTCGCAGGTACTAGATTAAGCCTCCAAATGTGAATCTGAAACTGCGAATCTGGAACTGTAAAGCCGACCTTTTGCTTAAGTTCGCTGTTGGGGGGATTATGTTACCGTCTCAGCCTAACCGGTCGACGTATTTGTCACTAATTGCATGTCTTAACCATGATCTTAATACGCTAACAACACCAGCAATCTTACGACCATTCCTGTCAATATTGCAAAATTAATGTACATTGACAAAACAAACTTCATGTGATTCCCTCCTTCAATCTTGTGACCACGAAACAACTATAGTAATTCACCATGACACACACTCAACATTGAACTGCCGCAGAGGGAAGAACGACATGATTTTACGGGGAATTTATCACTTTCTAAAGACCTTAAGATATGCTTCTCCTAACAAGAAAATGACTTTGTTTCGAAATTACACTAAGTATTTGTGAGTTGAACTGACCCCATAAACCGCAGGTGTTTCAATAATTAATGCGTACGTCATTAGAGCCGTACGTGCCTGTAATCATCATGTATCATCCTGTATTTTTGTATTTACGTGGTGTTTCCACAAACAAAACTATTATATGTTTTATCGCTATGCAAACCAACAAAGAACTCGTCATGTATCTATTAAGGCTGCCCTCCACTCCTCCAGTCACGCGTTTTTCATACGTGCGTATACGCACGGATCGGAAAAGTTTAGATCTTTTTAAGTGTTACTTACGAAATAACTGAATGAATAAAATGAAAGCATATAGTTTTGTGAATGATTCAATGTGCATTTGTACAGATAATTTACATACTATTGTTAAATTAAAAAAGATTTAAACTTTTCCGTGCGTATTCGCACGTGTGAAAAACGCGTGTTGGGGGCAGCCTTCATTCAACCAATCATAGGCAGACTCGAACCGGTAAGAACTTGCAGATTCCGGTAATCATAGTCACTCAAGGGGATCCATGCTATATCATATATATATACGTGTTTGCTAGAATGTAGTAAACAACGAATCTAAACTGATAGCAGAAAGAAGCAACATTGTAAGAAAAGAACTAGTGATTGAAGGTAATTAGCGTATAATGCTGCCTTTAGCCCGCACAGATTTAATACGGGGCTGATAATTTGCTGCTGTATCTTAATCGGCACGAATTTCGAGTAAAGGTTGCGAACTGACGTCTCGCATGAATGACGTAATAATTCAAAGAACTGAAATAAATATTACAACGGCGGCAAAAAAAACCAACTCTGTACAAATCTAAACTGACTAATGTGCAGCTATCTCATAGCTCTCTACTTAGTTATTGTGGCCCTGGGCCGGTTGTTCGAAGCTCGTTTAGCTTAAACGGTGGATAGGTCGAAAATATTGATCAAGTTTCTACATTCATCAAGTATTAAACAAAACTAAAATATTTCAACTTGACGTCTTGAGTAGAACAATTATGTTTGCAACTATACATATTTAGTGCATGAGATATTTAAGTTCATTCATTTATAAAATGTGTGAATCTGTTAGTTAATTTTGACTTATCAACCGTTTAAGCTAAATGGGCTTCGAACAACCGGCCCCTGGGTGAGTTGGGTTATTGAACTGGGCATATGCACGATCCCCCATCATATTCAAAATATTTCTCCACTTGCTACACATTTCATGCATCTTTTGTTATCGCTAATTTTTACACTTTATATCTTCCCTCCATAAAAAGGTTTTCAACTACTCAGACCACTGATCTGTCAATGAGGATCTGACGGAGGCATGTTTTGAGTACTAAGACCATTTTCCACTTCAAGCGTAACGTATACCAGTAACGTATCAAAACAAAATTTTAAATTTCAAAATTTGGTGAATGTTGATTGGTTAATACCTCCGTAGTACGCTCAAAAGTTGACTTAATTGCGACAAACTTTTTATTTTGATACGCGAATCAACCGAAAGTACGTAAATTTGAATACCCATCTTCAAGCTGCGCATGCTAACCGGTACGCTACGATACGATACGGGCGAAGTGGAAAACGGCCAGTATAGATTAACTATGCTTAAACAGACTTGTTTTGTGCAACGATATCAAATTATTAATTAGGGAAATCCCCTCTGTTTTTCTTGGGGTACTTCCTCGGGTAGAAGAATTTGCATCACAGATTACGTCATCAGTTAGTTATAGTGATTAGTGTTGGGGTTAGGGTAAGGGTTGTGGTTAGGGTAAGGGTTAGATTAAGGATTAGGCTTAGAGATAGGGATTGGGTTATATCTGACGCCACAAACAACACAACTAGCCGATCACGTGACAGTTCTCCTCTACCCAAGGAACTACCCATTTCTTGCTTGAACGTCTAATTTTATGTACTAATTTTAATGTTATTGACATTCCCAAAACGGGTTTTTCATTGACAATTTACAATCCATATTATGTACAATTAAAAGTATTTGCAAATTGTCTATTCTATACTAAAATTGTCAGCTAATTACTGCATGGTGACTAAGATTAAAATATGAATTGTATAATATTTCCTTCTAAAAGTCCTGCTTTTAATTTAGATTTAAAATTGTTGATATCAACAATAGATTTTAATTCCTCTCGTCCAATACTTCCAGATTTTGGTTCCTCTGTATTTGAATATTCTTTGGCCGGTTGCCGTCCGATACTTTGGAATGTCAATTTTATTTTGGCTTCGTGTAGCGCGATCATGGATTATTTGATTTCTTTTTATGAACTTGTGACCTAAGTACGGGGGTGCTTGATTATGTATGCATGATTGATTATGATGCTTGATTAGTATGCAACAACTTTAAGAGAAAACATACAGTAGGCAATCTAATGGCTTGGGGTGTTTAAATTACTTCAATATTTGACTGAAATACCCAATTTTTGCGTCTACTGCGTAAGCAGTAGCTGAATATTTTCTGACGTTTTGAAATCCAAAATTTGTGTAATATTCTCTGTCCAATAAAAGTCAACAACTTGAAGCCATATGGGTTCAGGGAAGCACAGCTGAGGTAATATTAGGCCGTGCCAAATCATATGTCCGTACAGAATACAGCAGTTCCTGGTAATTAAGACTGCGTAACACCACAGTGTGGCGATGTTCGAGCCGATTTATCACTTTTTCGAACCACGTAATAGATATTGTTGAGCAAAAGCTTCCGGTCATCAATCCGCACGATTTCCGGTTGTTTTATAGGAGTGATGTCAGAGGACATACAATACCGAAATTGGTTCAAATTGCACGTTTTTGACCATCGAAATTTCCAAACAAAAGGACACCTTTGATGTTAATTTAGTATTTAAAGCAACATTAGCTTGTACAAAAAGGGAACTTTTCATCACAAAAAGGGCATATCGGCTATCAGCCACATACGACGAGAGCGAATGGTATAATTGTTTTATAATATAGTCCAATAGCCATTAACTGAAGCAATAATTAATTATCCTCTGTTACAATGTCTTTACAATTTGTTCGGCCAAAAACCGCTTGCCCTTGAAAATTTGAAACACTTTTGTTTTACAACTCGAAGTGAAAGAAATAGTTTTAGAACCGGTATATCTCACAGAAAAGCTCAGATATATTATGCAGATGTTTGGTAGTATAGTAAGTGCTTGTTGACTGCAAATTCATTTGTCTTTGTTGCAAACTTTTCTGAACAATTCATATTCTCAATGAACATGTTTTTTTCGCTGTTGTTTCGGTATTAATTCTTTAAAAAACTTGTCTTTAAACTAATTTCTATGTAATAAATGTATTTTGCTAACCTGTCAAATTTTTTTGAGAGTTTTCCTTGTACTATTATCTTTCTCAAAGCGAACATTTTCCTTTTTTCTGCTTCGCAAAACTCATGTAGTTTTTGGACCGCCATCTTGTTTTTCGCTACTCGCCTTATATGAACTGATATACGGTGAGTAATTCAACCAATCAGATTGCAGAACAGCTCATATATGGTGAATGACTATATATATATATATATATATATATATATATATATATATATATATATATATATATATATATATATATATATATATATATATATATATATATATATATATATATATATATATATATACATATATATATATATATATAATTGTTGTCTTTTCTACTTAAAATTAATTAAGTCGCAAGCTCAATCACGCACGCAAACTCAGTCACGCAAGCAGCACAACGGATATCAACGTCATCAAGCAGGAAAAGTTAGTTGCGACTTAATTAATTTTAAGTAGAAAAGACAACAATTATAAAGCTCTACTAATATTGGTGTTGAGCACTCTTCAAACTACTCAGTGCGTTCATACTTTTGTTTGAATCAACGATTATTATCGATATATACAGGGTGTATCAAAAAAAACTGAACAGATTTGAAAATTGCTCTCACTTTCGCAAAACACGTATTTGTATCCGGATTTTTATATATATAGCTTCTTTGGGTACTTATAATGTAGAATAATGAAAAAAATTTCTCGAACTCAAATTTTGTGAACCAGGGGGGTGTGTCTTTTCCAACAAACTAAAAATGGCTCGCGCACAAATTTAAAAGCTGAAATTATATTTTGAGTTAATAGGTGGAAACTTTGTCGGGTTTTTAATTACTGTACCAAATTTCAGACAATTTGGTTTAGTTTAAGCCCCTTAACTATTCACGCAAAGTTACATTTTTCCTAAAAATCAGCTATTTGCATGCTTAATTAATGCATTTGCCTAATTTGCATATGTCAGCAATATGCAAATTAGGTAAAGGCATTAATTAAGCATGCGAAAGGCTGATTTTTTAGAACAAAATGAATAGTTAAAGGGCTTAAACTGTACCGAATTGTCTGAAATTTTGCACAGTATTTAAAAACCCGACAAATTTTCCATCTATTAATTCAAAATATGTTTACAGCTTTTAAATTTTGTGCGCGAGCCATTTTTAGTTTGTTGGAAAAGACACACCCCCCTGGTTCACAAAATTTGAGTTCGAGAAATTTTTTTCATTATTCTACATTATAAGTACCCAAAGAAGCTACATATATAAAAAAACCGGATACAAATAGGTGTTTTGCGAAATTGAGAGCAATTTTAAATCTGTTCAGTTTTTTTTTATACACCCTGTATATATATATATATATATATATATATATATATATATATATATATATATATATATATATATATATATATATATATATATATATGAATATATATGAATATTACTCCGATAACCTTTACTATTTTAGCATGATGATATTGAATCTAATGATCCAGAAGAACTTACTGTGACAACTCGTGTTCACGGAACTCAAAGTAGCTTGGTGACAATGTAAGTTTAAAAGCGCAGTAGTTCAAGTTGAGTGTAGAATACATGCAGGAGTCATGCTTGATCGTAATGTTTGAAAGTGACGTCTCAATGTTGGAACATCTTCACTCTTACCCTAAACTTTACCCTACCCTGGCAATACAGTATGTTGTCAATGAACTGAACTGTCATTTTATTAGATTTTCTTTGTGGAATACCATGTTGGGTACATCGTTACTAACCATGCCGTGGGCAATAAGTCAGGTAAGTATTGTTGTGTAGATTGAAGTGTCAATATTATTCTAAGAAGCAAAGACAAAACGCGAGCATTCTATGGAATCTATAGGAATTTAAATAGTTGAGAGACCATTCTGTAGTTGTGTTCAGGGACGTCCGAAGCGAGGGGGGCCAGAAGGGGGACCCCACGTTTATAGTTGGGGGAGGGCTAAATGTCTTTAGCCCCCAGCCCCCACACACACTTTTTAACAATGGTCAGTAATAAACCACAAAGTTGAATGATATTGTTTCAGTTACACGTGTAGACAAAACAATTTGAGATATTTGATGACATTTTGTTACCTTAGAACTCTGTAAATCTCCTTCTAAAGTGCAGGAAATGGCATTTCAGAGCTCTAGTTTTAAAATTTTCCTTGGAGGAGATGCCCCTGGACCCCCCTAGAATGTCACCTGCTGTCACCCGCCTTCGGCAGGCGCTGCAGTAAGTGTGCCCCACCCCCACTTTTACAGCCGCTCCGACGCCCCTGGTTGTGTTGCAGTACAGTATGTATAACGTCAGACGATTTTATTCTTAATGCAAGGGTACTAACGAAGAAATATGCCTCGTTATTAACAATTAAACCTTCAGCGATTACATTGGCTGATAACCTTAAAACTAGATTTAAAACAACTGATTTGAAAACCCGTGCCCAATATATAGCTTCTAGTAGCTGATGACAACAAGAGCTGCTGCCGATTAATCAATTAATCTAACCAACAGAACCGCCGTGTATAGCATGGAACCGCTCTTTGCGTTCTTTTCCAAATGAAACAAAATACGAGTATAGATGGTATTGTCGATGTGATCAAACGACAAACGTAACTTATTTTTCTATTTCTCTGCTAGCGCTCCCATTGGCCGTCAAATTAAAGCATGCCCTTTTCTTGGAAGCGACACTGTGAACGTGTCTAGGTTTATTCAATACGATTAATCGTTTTTAATCGATTGTTTATGATGATTAATCGATTATGATAATGAACCGATGGGAGCAGCTCTTTATTATTATTATTATTATTACAACATCTTTATACACGGTAACTAATCAACCATATTACCTATCAGTATTTACAAAAATTATAAAGGTTGTTTTTCATTAGGCCGTGTTACTAAATACAAATTAAAACTCAAAATACTATTATATAAACTATTATAAAAATATTAAAAGATACTAAGAAATGTTTGGGTCGAAGCGATACGTTAAATATATATATACTACAAATGAATTAAGTAGATTTAAAATTTTTACTATTATAGTTCCAGTCTTTAGCAGCAGCATATCCGAATGTCCTTTTCATTGAATTTGTTTTAGGCTTCGACAACATCAGCATCTTGTTATTACTTCTTAAATTATATTTATCAGAATTTGAGATTTTAAACATAGTTGAAACGTTTTCAGGACATTGGTTTGAAAGGGCTTTGGCCACATATGCTAATTTTTGCTCCTTTCTTCTCTCTTCGAGTGTTCTCCAATTTAATTTCTTTAAAATATCCGTGGAGCGAATTTCATAGGTATCACCTGTGATTACTCTAGCTGCACGGTTTTGTAGTCTCTGTAGCTTTTCTTTTGAACCTTCGCCACAGTTTCCCCAAACCATGGAGCAGTAATCAAAACTCGGTTGCACTAAAGCCTGATAAATATATTTAAGAGTTTCAAGAGAGACAAATGGCTTTGCACGGCGCAGCATACCAATGCCCTTCGATACCTTTTTACTGATGTTGTCGATTTGCTCATTCCAACATAGATTGTCATCAATCAGTACACCTAAAGTCTTTTTGGAATAAACCTGTTTCAATAGTTTCCCCCCGCATGATACGCTGGTATTTTTTTGAATTTTAGCTAGTCTTTGACGGGTTCCAATGATCATGTATTCTGTTTTTTCAATGTTTAAAGTTAGCTTGATGCTATCTGAACATACTGTAAGATTTGTATTATCTGCATACATTGCCGGACAGGATTTATCCAAGCAATTTGGCAGGTCATTGACGTATAATAAAAACAAAAGGGGACCAAGGTTCGATCCCTGGGGAACCCCACAACGTATTTTCCTGGTGGACGATGTTGCACTGTTCACCCTGCAGTATTGCGTTCTGTTATGCAAATAAGATTTAAACCAATCTAAGGCCTTATTTTGGATTCCATAGATAGATAATTTACTTAGGAGAATTCCGTGATCAACCGTATCAAATGCTTTACATAAGTCCAGAAAAAGTACTAATGACAACACCAACTCAAAATATTTGTCATTAACATTCGTTATCTAGTAAAACCTAAACACCGCCCAACAAATCGTAGTGATGTTTGTAAATGTGCCTTCAATCAGTAACTGTTGTTGTAATTGTTCTATAGGCGGGATTTGCTTGTGGAATAATCTTGATGATTTTTATTGGTGGACTGTCGTTTTACACAACAAAACAAATTGTAAATTTTGCCTCACACTATAGTAAGTTGACAGGAATGATATGTATATGTTACATTATTCTCTAAACATCATCTGCAATATCCCATGCTGCACGTGGGTATAAACACGTCTTGTTTTATAATCTTTATTGCGCACTAATTGGCCCGTTTTCGTGTGCGTTATGTCCGCGCACGATAGGGTTAGAGATAGACTTGCTATACTTCTGATGTGAGCAAAGGTCATAAAGAAATGTATTCATGCGCGCAACATGAGGATATCGCCTTCGTGCGCACACGGAAACGAGGTCATCGAGGAAAGAGTGTAATACACTGTAAGGTATATTGTTAATGAAACATTTCAAAATGTGTCAGACCATAGATAAACGAGAGGAATGGACTGGAAACTGGCGCCATTGTTTTGCGCATTGCTATCCGTGCTACGACATGTACAATTTGCAGGCTCATCTGTAAAAATTCAAAATGGCGTAAGCTTTAAACTTTCAAACACTGGCACTACATGCAAGCATAACGGATTTGAACGAAAATTTGAACGAGATAATAACATCGAATTATAAGCGGTATTTTAGCATAAATGTTTTTAGCAAATACCCTGCATATAAATTTTGCAAATTTCAAGATTTGTACTGTATGTTATATTTGGAGCTCGCTTTTCATTAATTTTACAATTCGCTTCTACCTATACAATTAATAAACATATACTTTCAAGTATGCCTATTAACCCATTAAACTGGAATGCGCCCAAATCCGCCCTACTTCACTATTTTACTCTGTCTAACACCAGACAATTTTTCTCGTCAAAGGAAATGACATCTCGATTGTCTATGGTCAGACACGTTGCCTTTTATACTCAGTTCTTCATGCAGTGCACTATATATGTCAAGCCTATAGCTAGGTACTTCTCAAGTTCTGGTAAAACTTGGTATAAGTCATTGGGCGTGAAGAAACCTCTACCTGTATATAGGAAAAATCCTGCTCGTAATGCGTCGGTTAATAACATAATTTGGCACGTAATGTGTTTTTAGGTTCAAAGGACAGAGAAACGTTAGAATTTTCTGACATTTGTCGAACTTATCTTGGTCGTTGGGGTGATTGGGCCGCGTTTGCATTCTCGCTATGTGCTATATTCGGTGCTTTGATTGTGTTTTATGTCCTGATGTCTAACTTTTTGTATAATACTGGAAGATTTATACATGGTGAGTATGCAATCCTGTTCAGGCAATTTCAAAAAATGTAGAAAGCTGCGAATATAGCTAACATAATGTCAACTTAAGTTGTCTATTTACTTTTAAACCCTTTATATAAATGATTTTTCCGGCTTTGCCAAAAGCAATTGACGATTCCAAAAAAACTGACAGCGGTAAACTTAAGAACAATTCTTTGCATCAGTTCTGTGTAACCGATTGACACCTTTTCTTTTCAAACCAAATCGTGCAACAATATTGAAATATTTGGTTTAACTGCTTATTTTTCAAATCTTTTTGATAAGATTTATCCAATTTTATTTTGCTTTAAAATATTTGTGAAAGAAATAGTATAAACCACTGAAAATCGCTGGATGGTATTGGAAGAACAATGTTGGGTCCGTTTGAATAGACCTTAACTTGCTTTGCCGTTCTTTTCTTGAAACGCCCAGTTACATTAATCCGGCAACACCCTTACTAATGAAATCAAATTAATATTATACTGAAACGGGATGGGTAACATTTCTATTGATAGACAATTCCGAATTTGCTGGCTGCCAATATAAAATACTAAGTTTTTATTACGATCGAAGCAGTGGTGGACACTTCCAGAAATATTGGGGGCGATTAGGTTGCCACCGTATGACCAACTTTTATTGATGGAAATCGTAGTTTGTTTACTTTAAATTTCATGCAATATGTAGTTTAATTTATATAATACCTTATTGAATTCTGATCGTTTAATTGACTGTTTATGGTCACGTGATATTGAATAGAAAATTCCATTTCCCAAGAGTGCAATGGAATACGTTCCATTGCGCAATTGTACTATACGTTTTATTCCATTGCACTCTTTGTGTTTTCGATAAATCGCATCCGTCAAAATGCTTCTCGTACGGTGATCGCAGTTTATTTTAACCCGATATTCGAAACTCAGTAAATGGGATTTAATGCAAATACGACTCGTCATAATGGCGGGAGCTTACAATAAACTTTTTAATATTAGTCTATTTTGGTATTATACCGAATGAAAATATTCTTACCATTGCACGATCGGCTATCAATCAAAGGTTTTCGGTAATTATTGAGGTGGGGCGGTTGCCTACCCCCTACCCTAGTGTCCGCCACTGGGTGGAAAACGTCTTTTTTAGGGACGGACCATTAGAAAAGTGATGGGGAGGGTGGGGAAAAACAGAAAAAAATCCATGCAAACAAAAAGGGTTTGAAAAAAAAATAATACATGCATCAGACTTGTTTAAAATGCGAGAAGATATATTTTTTAAAAAAAAACATACATACACAGCTGACAACCTGGGGAAAAAATACAAACATAAAAAAATTAACCCCCCCCCCCCTCCCCCCCAATCACTTTTCTAATGGTCCGTCCCTTAGGTCATGGACTTCAATATACAGTAAATTCCCGTTGTTTTTCTTGTATTATACCCATATATCTACTACATTCCTATGCAATACACGATTAAATTTTGTTTCATCAACATAAGACTATTAGTTCCTTTATAATTATATACATATAATATACCAAAATTCTTCACCAACGTGTTAAGTTGAGAATTAAATGTTGAAGTGCATGCAGTTATTCATTAGCTTGTAAAACGGAGAACTGCGACTTTATTGTGCTGTAGCTTACACGAAACACCTACCCAAGAAAATAATCAGTCTGGTTATTAGCAAAATAAACGCCACAACAACAATGGCAGCCAATGGTAAAATAATGAGAACACTCTCGATCATATTAATGGAGGGCATAAATGTTGACTTGGTATACAGAGATGAGTAATCTTCTCCTCGATACAGTGCCTTGACAAGTGTGAATCCGCAGAAGATAACCAATGTTGTCAAAGATGCAGTTTCTAAGCAATTTTCCCATCTCTTTCTGAACGGCTTGACACAGAGATGTATGACCAGTATTAATACACATGCAGTGAGTGCACACAGTGGACGCCAGCGACGGTCGTATGTGAAAGCGAAGATTAAGATAAGAACTAAACGGCGTAATATCAAAACACCTTCCCACGCGAGATGAGAACGTGGAAAACACGCGACGGCTCCGTGGGTACGGAACGGCCCCGAGAGAACGTGCAGTATTGCAAGACGATTCTTGTGGATTGCATTTTGACCAGGCCTGTGGTCTCCATTGACGTCAGCACGATTGCGAAACAACAGTCGTAACCAGTAGCAGCAAAATGGGAAAGGCAGTAAACAGCCTAGACAAAACTGAGTGACAGATATTAAACCTAAGTTTAGGACATACGAACCAAGGAAAGGTACCATACAAAATGGTAAAACTGACATTATCACATATCCTAGCAGTGCATATTGAAAGGATTGATAACATTGCATGGTGCCATCAATAAATAACACCTTAGTGTTTTTATATGGCACGCAGTGAAGTAAAGTCAAACATAGTCTGGCTGTTGTTGAGTACATCAGGAGAGAAATGTGGGTAAATGCACCGAGGGCGCGTTCAGTGAACGAGATTTTGCGTGAATCTTCTGCATAATTCCTCTCATTCGCTTCGTATGAATCAAATCTACGGTTATTAACTGAAAAGTTCCCAATATCCCAATTGTTTTCAACAAGCGGATTCAGAGATGAAGCACCAACTCGTACTCTCTTGCGTCCATGTACTCTGCTGCAGAGTTTCCACAGGAGGCAACCAACTCCAAGAGTCAAGAGCAAGACAAAACCAAAGGAATGCGACATGAGTGTTTTAGAGACAGGTGTAATGCTAGGTAAAGGACAGTCAAACGAGGAAATATCTGCCACTATGAGGTTAAAAATATTAGAGATCAAATCATTAACACGCTGGACAATCTTATTTTTCTCTTCCAACCCAACACTAGATATCAACAAGTTAATTGTTTGATAGTAATAGAAAAGGATTTTAATACCACCGCTTTCTCCTGTATCTTCTCTGTCCGACAGGCTTGGTAACTTTACAGAGAAACCTCTTTGTAGAAAACTTACAATATCTTCGTTGTAAAGAAAGAATATAATAAAAGCAAGTATCAGGAAAGCAGCTGCGGGAAAGAATATAGAAGCATTGCAAGTGTTGTTTTGTCTGCATGCAGTGCTGAATAAAGATTCTGATGTATCACTAGGGCATCGTCCACATAGTGTTCCAGTTCTTTTACCATCACAGACATTATAGGTAGGACACTTATAGCTGTCACAACAATAGTCGTGAGGACAGTCTATAAAACGAACCTTATTTCCTATTCTGTAACCCCAAAAGTTCGGCTTGGCTTTCAAATAGCCTAAGACACAGTCGCCCCCACGTGGACACTCGTGACACTCGAATTTCCGCGCGTTGTCTCGCAGGATCGTTCCTGAAGTATTGTGCGCAAACGTAGGAATGTTAGTCACCACTCCCCGATCTAATGAGTACGTTTTTCGTGGACATGGCGAGCATAGAACATTGAGATAAGTAAAGGCAATTGTTTCGTTCTGTCCATGCCCAGACTTTCTGATCTGATATTGAGAAATGTTAAATCCTTGGGGACAAATAAAGTTTAAAATTCCAGCCATTAGTACACTGCCACAACGTCTCGATCTGAAGATTGGCAATTTATTAGAAGGTAAATGAATGAAGATAGTTTTTCCATCGTTTAATTTGATAATGTTAAAAGTATTATTTCCTAGGATTTTTAACAAGCTCTTTGGGTATGCAAAAACTTGTATTGCCGTGCCACCAAATTTTCCAAGTTCAAAATAGCAGTCTCTGAGAGTGACATTGGCCCTGTCTGATATGGAAATAACTCCAGTTGAAGCACTTTTCCCAATAAGGTTGTCAATGAATTTACAAGAAACTGCTTGGAATGAACCCAAATTAAAGAACAAAGTCGCATAGATACCAGACCAGCCTTGGCAGGGAAAATAACGGTTACGCAAAAAAGTATTATTCCTTAATACGATTGTGTTGTTGTGAAAGTATCTGTTCAAGACGTATTTATTGGATTTGAATGGAGAGATGGCAAACTCTATAGTTCCTGTATTGTTCTGAAATAAACTATTTTCCAGTAACACCCAATACTCTCTTGCACGAGCTGCTTCAAGATAAATCAGGGTCTTTTTCCAGTAGTTATCTTCGAAGGTCAGTCGATCAAGTGTGATGAATGTTGTTTTCTGTCTCCCACTTACATTATATTTTACATATTTCTCGGCTTTTATCCAAAGAAGATATTCATTATAGTTGAGTCCAACATGATTCTTGAAAATGGTTTTGTTTATTATAATTTTCGTACTCTCTGCAAAAGAATGAACAAATATGCCATTCTGGAAGCGTCGTCTCGCTGCATTTCCGCCCAAGAAAGAACAGTTATTGATGAACAGTTCATACTTTTCAGTAATTGTGTCCTTTTGTTCTCGCTGAAGAATGCTGCTGGAATAAAACAAAGAATTTTTGATGTTGAAGATGCTTCTTTGGCAAGGGAGTGACTCGATACCGGCAAACTGATGATTGTGAAAACTCGCGTTGTTCAACACAAGGGAACAGTTTGCTGATTGTTTGATCAATATTCCTATTGAATTGTCTCGGAAGGTGCATTCGTTGAAGACTAACTTGATGTCTGTTTGTTGGCTATTATTCACCGCGACTCCCGAGTTGGATAAAATAAGATTACCAAAGGTTAAGCTTATCTCACTGCATCCTCGAATAAGAAACAGGGTGCGATTTTCTCGACATTGAATCTCAGCTGAGCCGTTTATACCTTGTATGGTCAGGGAATGTTGAATTAAAATAGCGCCTTTCTCTCCACATTCATGGTAGGGCCAGCCTTTTGTATTTTCGACCAGGATCGTATCCCCGGTATGAGAAAGCCTAACGGCATAATGTACTGTTTGGCAAGGCTGAATATATTGTCCACAAGAGGAATTATCACGGCCATTGTGTGTAACGTGTAGTTCTCGTGATGCTACTTGAAAAATGACTAAAGAATGTAAACAATAAATTAATATAATTAATCGTATGATAGCAGTCTGAACTGTATATAATTACAATTTGAAAATACATAAAATTAATTTATCACTGCAGCTAATCCTAAAGGAATACCAAATGGTTTTCCGTGCAGGATTATGTGATCCATGCACGAGGTATGTCGCGAGACTTTCGGAAAGCGTAAAAATACTCGAGCCGCAGGCGAGTGTATTTTTACGCTTTCCGAAAGTCGAGCAACATCCCAAGTGCATGGATCACGCTATCCTGCTTGGAAAACCATTTGGTAATTGTTTTATAAAATAACTTCAGTGAAACAATGACATTTTGAGAATCCCGCGAAAATGCCGCGAAGGCATTTTAATTCCTCGTGCAGGATAGCCTGATCCTGCACGGCTATTGACCAATCAAATTGCGTGTTTCACTGTAGTTATATATTTATCATTTATAGACCCGGAGCGAGGGGGATTCGGCGAAATATTTCCCGAAGTGATGATATTTCCCGAGGGCGAAGCCCGAGGGAAATATCATCACTTCGGGAAATATTTCGCCGAATCCCCCGAGCGGAGGGTCTTTAAATGATATATTATACCGAAAAAGGTATTCTATACCGAAAAAGGTATTTATTTCCTCGTCAGACTCACAGATAATCAATAGCTATATACCCCAGAATGGCGGTCGTTGTTGATCCTTGTGAAATACTCAACGTTTGTGCGAACGAAACTAACAACAAAACCTACGAGAATTTGTTAAAGTATAAAGAATACTTCCAAGTGCAACCTGACAAGAAAATTAAATGGCTAGGAAATTTTGACGAACTGAAATGCTTGATATTTGATTTGTTTGGTGCCGATGGGAAATGGAGTTCGCCGAGAGGCTCAGCAAAGGCATTTCGAAACGATAAAATAACTATTACATATTACACCAACAAGAAATCTTTGTTATTTCAAGGCCAAGAAGGTAACCGTTTGAAAGAGGTTATATTAAATCAATCAAGTAAGAGTTCTGACTTGTTTACGGACAGTATAGTTAGTCATGAATCTATCATTTGTGTTTCAAACAACGATAACCTGTTACATGCAAGTCAAACCGTGGCCAAAACAGCTAAAATATCTATGATTAGCGACAATACTAGATCTAAAAGCGAGGTAACAGAAACAACATCAGATTGCTCAACCCTTGAAGATCTACAAGACTTTATCGACTTTTCATATCAAAATATATTGCCGCTAAGTGATAATGCCAATTTATCTTCTACCCGAACCTTTGATTGTTCTACCCCGTCTCGCCCGAGTGTTGGTGACAACTCGCCTGCTATAGAGAAACTTTTTGGCATTTTCAAAAGGGAGTTTGAATCTAAGGTCGAAGCCCTGATTTTCGAACTTTCGGAGCAGAGGGAAACCATTGACAGATGTAAACAGGATATATGTAAATTGACCAGTGAAAATTTAAATCTAAAGTCACGCCTGGCGGAACTCGAACAAAAAGCGTTTCCTAAGAATAAATCTAATAACGTTATTAAAAACGCTGAAACCAACGATGTTATTAGTAGCACTCTATCATATTACCTGCCCTCAACTGTCTCAAACGAAGCCCCTAGCACAACTAATGGTCCTACTATCAGCTCCCTAGTAAATAAC